ATCGGATAACTGGCCCCTGTATAAACAAAAACACTGCCTTCCAAAAACACCAATGATAGGGTAATATAACTTCAACCCAACCCCCTCCCCGGTGACCCCTGGGAGGGGGATTGGGTCTGTGACAGCCTAGCGATCTCTAGGTGATGGTTGATTGTGAGTTCATCATGACTTCGCAACCATTCACGACCCATATCCTCTGACCGGGACACCACAGCGATCAATCAGCCCAAAAGAACTAAAAATAAATCAAACAATAACCGACATACAAACAAGGGATAATGGATATCCTTATTCTCTCTGTTTTTACAGCAAATACCACCAAAGACCGACTTCCAAACCCTCACCCGACTCATCTATAAATTACTCCAAACAAACCACCATATATGCTTCATTAAAAGACCCAACGGAGAACTCCAAGCTCCCAAACAATTCAGACAACTACAACAATACCTTACATCCATCGTCAACCCGGTAGCCCCCACGACCCCAACCCGGACATTAATTGGAGCCAATGCAACTAACTGGATGTACACATCCCTGCAAATATTGGAGGAACACTGCACAGAAATAGTAAAAAACCTAAAACAAAAAATCAACATAACATCAAAAGAAGAAACCCAAACAGCCTGGAACGTAGCACTGAAATGGACCAAACGCAGGTTCCCGCACCTAAAACAGGAAGTGACCCAGACAACAATCGCGACCTTGAGTGAAATAAATATAACGATTCAACCAACCACTCAACCCGCATATCCTCCCCCACCACGAAGCCGCAAAACAAACAAGGAAGGGCACAGAAGAAAAAAACGAAAATCGAACACCCCCGAAAACCCGTGCCCAACCACCAAAAAACACTGCGCCGCCTGGCCAACAACAATGACGACAACAAACCAAAACCCCACAAACAACCAAAAAACTCCAACCAAAGAAATAAAGGGGAGACTCTCCACAAGAACAGAGGAGAGAACCATAATAACCCCGACGCCCACCACCCTCCCCATAGGGAACAACAAAAATACCCCAACTCAAACAGAACATGAAATAACTCTAACACCAGAACTAAAGGAACCAAAACAAACAAACTATGGGGACACGTCCCTGACACTCCTTCTGACCTCCCCTATCATAACGGGCCCAAAAATCCCATTCCCAACTAACGAACTAGAACCCAACGCAATCAAAATGAAAAGAACAGGGAACAAACTTACAAGGTCACGCACCCGGGTACCAATCCCCACTCCCTCACCTGAAACAATCCAGAACTTCCCAAACTTAGGAGAAACCGTCGCAGTCAGAAAAGAAGGGAAATCCTCCTCTGAACCGGATCTACTATTCTCCCCCACCCAAAATGAAACAACAGATTGGAACCCCCCAAACCTAGACACCATCGACTGGGGAATAAACTGGGGAGAGGACCAAACACTAAATCCTTTAACAAATCAGGAAAACCAACCGGAAACCACAAATCCACCTACATTAATGGAGGATGATGAAGAGGATGATCAGGCTCTAGATGAACTCATCGCTCTCATTCATGAAACAGAAAACAAAACACTATTCACCAGACACGACCACTACGGAAACAAGAGAGCCAATTGGCATCTGAAACCCAAAAGACCCATCCTTATCATAGGTGACTCCAACCTGAGCAGACTTGATTATGCAGAGGACAATAGAGTCCAAATTGACTGCTATCCGGGGGCCAACCTATCACTGGCAATACACCTCTTAACCTACAACACCCCCACAAATGATGACATCCAAGAGGTCATCTTGGCGTTTGGGATCAACGACAAAGGTCAGGATGACCCCCAATTACTTAAAAAATATGTCCAAAAGCTAATCTCCACGGCGAGATCAACTTTCCCTAACGCTCGCATCCACGTACCGTTAATCAACTTCGCAAAAATACTACCCTCTAGGTGGGAACAAAACTTAAAACGTCTAAACCAGATAATCGCAGCAACAGGCACAGCAATACCTAGGCTGGACAACACAAAGTTCACCACAGGACCGGACTTGATACACTGGAGCGGGGACACAGGAACAGCAATGTGGGACCATTGGATGTCTTTTTTAGACTCAGGCCCAAACCCCACCAGCCGGGGAACTTAACACAAGAAAATGAACCAAAAACGGTCATCAACCTAGCTACCGCGGTTCAACTCTCTCCAGCACACATCAAACTTCTAGGGAAAGGCCTCTCATTTATACCAACCAACACGAGCTTCCCACACACGAGGGTGTCACTAGCAGCCCATCTACAACAATACCATCGCAGACTAAAACTAGCAGTCCACTTCCAGTCCTCAACTGAAAAAGAACCCCTCCCCTTCCACCTAAATTCTAACTGGGAACCGAAAAAGAACAAACTTCCGACAGAACTACTAAAACTTTTTGAACAAGACAAAAAAGACTTACAGAACCTAAAAATTAACCCGGAAACACCAAACCTCACTCCGGAGGAGAAAAAAATCCTACTGGAACTCAGAACGCTAACCACAGTAGTAATCAAACCGGCAGATAAGGGCTCAGCTATTGTGATCATGGACAGAGCGGATTATATCCACGAAGCACAACGACAACTTAATGACAAAACATACTACCGTCCACTTCCTAAACCCATATATCCGAGCACAACGCCCAAAATCCACCAAATCTTAGACCAACTAGAAAACGAGGGCTTTCTAAACAAATCACAGGTCCTGTACCTGAAGGGACAGGCGCCACCGAGACCCAGGTATTTCTACCTCTTACCGAAAATACACAAACCACCTGAAACTTGGACAGTCCCACACAAAATCCCTCCGGGCCGACCCATCATCTCTGACTGTGGGAGTGAATCGTACGGCTCAGCTGAACTCCTGGACTACTATCTTAATCCTCTTTCCATAAAACACCCCAGCTACCTTAAGGACACAAATGATTTCATCACAAAGGTAAAAAATCTCACAAATAAAGAACCATGCTTCATTTTCTCTATGGATGTTGAAAGCCTCTATACAAACATAGACACAGAAATGGGCATGAAGGCAATTGATGCAGCCCTAAAAACATCCCCGGACCCCACAAGGCCGGACCAACACATACTCAAACTCCTTCATATCAATCTCACCAGAAATGATTTTGAATTTAACAAAAAACACTACTTGCAGATCAAAGGCACAGCCATGGGGAAACGATTTTCCCCAGCATATGCAAACATTTACATGGCAGAGTGGGAAAAAGAAGCACTAAAGAAATGCTCTAAACTACCCACAACCTATCTGCGTTACCTGGACGACATTTGGGGCATCTGGACCTACTCGAAAGAAGAGTTTAATGAGTTTGTGAAAACCCTCAATAACCACCACCCCTCAATCAAGATTAAACCACTCCTTCATGAAACCGAAATCAATTTCCTGGACACGACAGTATTCAAAGGCCCACAATTCAGAACAACGGGCAAACTAGACATTAAAGTCTATTTTAAAGACACAGACACACATGCACTACTGCACAAACAAAGCTTTCATCCTCGACACACCTTCAGGGGAATCTTAAAATCCCAACTACTGAGATTCAAGCGAATCTGCACCAGAGAGATAGACAAAACCAAAGCCACAAAAGTCCTATTCCAGGCTTTAAGGAAACGGGGCTACTCAAGATCCTTCTTGAGACAAACTCTAAAACAGAGCCAAACCGAAACCCCCAAAATGACAACAACAAATGAGGAAGAAAAAAGACTGGTACCGCTAGTCTCAGTATACTCAACACAAGGCAAACAAATGCACCAAAAATGGAAAGGCAACCTCGCTGAGAGAACTGAAAAGAAACTTTTACCCGAATCCCTCAAAATAATCTCGGCCTTTAAAAAGAACCCAAACTTACAGGACTTACTGGTCAGGGCCAAGTTACCTCCTACCCGGGCTAAAGCTTCCCAACCCACCGAACCACCAATAGTAACTAACCACCAAACCGGCACCCGTTTTTTCACACAATCAGGACTTACCTTGGCAGCAACCAATTCGGTTTACCTCATCTACTGTGATAAATGTGGGATGCAATATGTAGGTGAAACCAAAAATTCAATTAAAACCAGAATGTGGGCTCACCGTCATAACATTAAGTGTGGCCGAAAAACGGACACAAGACTGGTCCAACACTTCCAGCAGCATGGCCTGAAGAGCCTCAGGGTCATAGCGCTGGAAAACAGAGCAGGCTGGTCCAAGGGCCAACGACTAAGAGCAGAGCAGATTTGGATTGAGAGACTCCACTGCAGGTATCCATTTGGACTCAACCAGGACTAAAACAAAAGGGAGAAATAAATAAACGCACACACAAAAGGAAGAGGAGAAAAAGGAGAAAACCAGAAAAATACCAAACAAGCAACAAGCACAAAATCATAATTTAACAGGCCTAAGGCCCAACTCAATAAACTTAATAAATATCTAATTAATCATTATAAGATAACCAAGTAAGAAAAGGACAGACCTACCAAACATGGAACCAAAAAAGGAATGGAGAGAGAGTACGTCTTCAATCAAGGCTGGGGGGTGAACTCCATTGGACCAAGACTCCCTTACCTCCAAAAAAGAACAAATATATACTTTAATGGTTTATTACTTCTATATATTATTATGATTTCTACATTATCATAACTTCTATATTATTACTACTATATAGTGCATGAGAAAGAATATATATAAAATCACCTGTAACTAAACTAATTTGTACAAAAGATATAGAAACTCTGGAAAATTGTATTAAATACTACATGTTTATATTTCTAAACCAATAAAAATATTAAGAGGAGAAAAAATGGCACATACCTGAATGAAGATGACTTGATCCAAGGGCAACCCAGCCCACCCACGAAGGGTCACTAACTCTGACAGGTCACAGCCATTCTCTCCTCTATTTTCCTGGGAAACCTATTAAACACAAAACGTGAAATAGACCCTCACAGACCAACCAATTAAAAGGAAATTAAGTAATACACACCCCCCAAATTATGAGACAAACATGAAAGGGATCCTACAGAATGAGTTAACAAACACTTACCGGAGCAAATACACCTGACAAGCCCCAGCCATTCTCCTCTCCGCCCCTTCCTCCTTAAACCTATCGTGCACAAGCATAAGAGACAAACACATAAAAGAGATCTCACAGAACAGTTAACAAACACTTACCTTATCAAGTCCCAGCCAGTCTCTTCTCTCTGCTGTTATCTGCCCACTCCTCCTTTAACCTATTAAACACAAAAATAGGAGAC